AACCTGCCCGCCTTTCGCGGCCGCTGGACTGCCCAGAGGAAGGCAGACCCGGTTCCAGGGTCGGCGTTGAGCACCTGGCGCCCTCGGGCTCCGCCGGTGGGTTGCAGCGCCCTGCTTTGGGGCAACCGTCCCGTTCCGGGGGCCGCACAAAGCCGCTCCTTTGGCGCCACCCGCAGCTGGACGTCGGGCGCAACCCCTTGGTGCCCCTGCCAAGGCACTCCAGGGCTTCCCAGCCCTTCTGGTCCCCGGAGGGGCCGAGCAATCGGCTGCCTCGGGCATTCAGGCGAGGCTCCCTGTTGCACCCCATCCCCCCTCCCCATCCGGGGCAGCGCTCACCTTTAATGTCGTTGGAGAGACCCGAAATGTCTTCCAGGCTCTGCTCCTGCGCCTGGAAGGAGACTCTGGCGCGGAAGGAGACCCCAAGTCAGCTCAGAAGGTGACCAGCCTGAAAACTGGGCCCCCCCAGCTGCCCCTCGACCTGACTCAGGAAACAGACCTTTCAAAGGAGGAAGCCGAGCCCCAAAGCAAGGGGCGAGTGAGAGCACTAACCCTAACCTGGCCCTAAGAGCACATCCATCGACTGTCACTCTGAGGCCAGTTGAAAGGGGACCCACTCTGCATTTGTATTATGTCTCGTCCCCTCTGCTGCCTCCTTCCCAGGGTGGCCCTCCCACTGCTGCTGCCACCAAGGGGCCAGCTCATTTTGTGCTCGGAGAAAGGCCCTCCAGACAGTGGATCCTCTCCTGCCAAGAGCCCACCGCCCCCACCGCCGCTCAGGGCATAACTCCAGATTGAAGCATCCCCAGTAAAGGGTGTCCAGCTTCTGTTTGGAGACCTCCAGCTCTCCCTGTCAAACCACTTTTGTCCTGGGGGGGGGAGGGGTCTGACGTTCAGTCTGAACCTGCTTTACAGGGACCGTGCCTTAAATCTGCGTTTTACTAATTGTTTATCCAGATGGGTGAGAAAAAGAGAAACATAAAATGGCTTCGGTGTAAAACCTGGCTGAAGGTGTAAAAAGGAGCTCCCAAGAGAAGGTGATGCAAATCAGAGGTCTGAGCCTGACCCAAACCTGCCGGACCCTCAGTGCCAGCCTCAGCTGCGTCGGCCCACTTACCTCCGCGGCCTTTCCTGGTTTTGCTTGGGTCTCCGGGAGATCTGGGAGATGACGCCGGACACCTTCCTCCCCACTCTCTTCATCACCCCGGGGCTCTTCAGCACCATCTCAGAGTGCTGTGGCTGGGGGGGCAGAGAGGTTGGTGTTAGATGGAGACCGCCCCCCCCCAGTTCCACAGGGTCCAGGGAGGACTGACCGATGCCCTGCCCCCCAGGCCAGGTGTGCCCCAAGATGGGGCAGCCCCTCAAAGGGGGGTGGTGCTGGACAGATGGCCCTGCCACTCTTTCGGCTGCTCCCCAGCCAGCTTTTAGGCACAACCTGGGCACTCCGGTGCCAGGCAGGGCAGCTGCTGCTGCTGCTCTCTTGTTTATTGCCAGGCGCCCTGAACCCCGGCTCGCTGGCTGCTTGGGCCTCCTGCTTGAACGCAGACAGGTGCACTGGGAGTCGTGCTCCTCCTCTGGGGACACTGCAGCCCTGCAGAGCGGGTGAAGGTGAACAGGGCCTTACTGGCTCGCGGTCAGGTTACGGCTCTTTTGGCCCTGGACTGACAAGTGGGGGGGCCTTCGGCAGGGGCAGCGCCTAGCCAACTGCGCTGGTCTCAGAAGCGAAGCACAGCTGAGGCCACATGGAAAGCCCAGGGAAGTAAGGACAGAACCCAGGAAGCAGCAGCAGCAACTCATGTCCATAATGCTGCCAGAAGCCAGGATGGATCATCCTGCCCACCCAGCAGCGGGGCCCGCCTGGAGGGCACTGGAGCTCTACTGGGCACAAGCATCCTGGCAGTTTTCCAGGCTGCCCTGAGCTGAAGCAGGCAGGGTCACGGGTGCCCCCCGGCTGCAGTCCCATCCCTGGGAGGCGGAAGGGAAGATGACTGCCCAGCTCCGGCTTGGTTTGCATCATGGCTCGCCTGAGCTCAGATCAGGTGGGGGTTTGGTCTGGGGTGAACCAGGGTGGCTCAGCTGAAGAGATGGGACCCAGCCCAGGAGCTGGGGGCTAGGCTGGCAGGAGGGCTCTAGATCAGAGGGGAGAGAGACTCTCTCTGGAAGCTCTCTGAAACCAAGGGACCAAGCCACAGTCCCCTTGCCCAGGGACAGAAGGGCACCTGGCCAGCCAGCCGGCCGGCCTTTAGAGCTGCTCCTCCTTTCACGCCAGCCACCTCTTCAGCTCCTTGGAGAAAGGGCTGCAGGCAATCCGCGGCCTCCGGTTCGTCCCAGGACGGGAAGTTCCCTGGCATGCCCCCGTCTGTCTCACTGCGGCCACTGCAACCGACCTGGCCGCACTTCCTCCCTGGCGCGACCAGTCCCAAAGGGCCCTGTGGTGGAGGGGGCTCCAGAGCTGGCGAGGTGGCGTACCTCGCCCGACAAAGTGGTGCTGGAGGTGCTGCTGCTGCGGCTGGAGACCAGGCTGTGTCGGATGGGGATGGTGGGGTCCTTGGTGGTGATGGAGAGGCCCTTCTGCAGGATGCGCGTCAGGCGGCTCCAGAGCGCAAAGACAGCCTGGGGGTGCTCCTGGTGCAGCTGCAGGTAATACACCTTCTTGGTCACCGTCTGGATGCGCAAAATGCGCTGGGGAGCGCTGTGGACAGAGAGCCGGACGTACCGGAGGGGAAGCAGCCTGGGCAAAGCAACAGAGGCGGTCAAGGACGGGGGCTGGGCGAGCACGAGAAGTTCACGTGGGCGGGCAGGGCTTGGAAGGCGGGCAAGAGCCCGTTGGGTGGAGCTGGGGGACGCAAGGTCCGGCAACTCTGGAGGGCGCCGGGTTGGGGAAGGCAGTAGCAGAGAATTCTCTGGGCCAGTCTTTATTTTACCCTTGGTTGCAAACAGAGCCTCTAGAGGAGAAAAGGTGCGGAGGAGCAGCTGGGGGGCTCTGTAGCTGCCCAACTGTCCGGGGACAGTTCCCAAAGACGAGGCTCGTGCTCCAGGTCAGAGAGTTGGCCATTTCTGGCCCAGGGTATTGGGGGCTCCAGGGGTTCCCTTAGCAGGTTGTGGGGACCATGGTGCCACCTGACCCACTCAAGAGGTCCCAAAGAACACCTAGCCCAGGGGAGCCCGCGATGGCCGGGCATTCGGAGGTCCCGACCGTCGCAGGACACAGGGCAGAGAAAGGCTCTGGCGGGCCAGCCAGCTTCCCCTTCAGAGCCAAGCCGATCCCGCCCGGGCAGGGGCAGGCCTGGGCCAGCGTCTCCCTCCTGATCCTCGCCCAACGTCACCTGGTCAGATCCATGAGCGACAGCCTGGGACTGCCAGTGTTGGCCCTCCGAAGAGGGGTCCGATGCTTGGCCATCAGGAGCACATTAGGGAGTGGGAGGCAGGGGTCCGAGGAGGTCACCCCCAGGGTCACGATGGTGGGCGTGTTGGTGATGTCCACCCACTTCCCCTTCTTTGTGACCTGTTGAAAGCGTTCCCACCCACCCGTCACCCCTAAGTTAATCAAAAGACTAATCGATTCAGCCCATTTGCACCCAGTCCAGCCGTGCCAAGCACCAGCTGCCCTCGCTCAGCCCCTGCCGACCCAACCCTCTTCCCAGCAGCACTTTGGCCCCCCTTCCCCTCACAAGGAAGGGCTGCAGGGTTGCCCAGTGCCTTGACCAGCTGGCACTTATGTGCTGGGGAAGGATGCTGTTCCACCTGGGGCTTCCCTCTGCCCCAGCTAAGCCCTGGGCAGCCCCTAATTCCCACCGGGCGGAGCAGTGGGCGAGGGTCTCCCTCTGACTCAGCCAAAGGCTCCCCTGCGTGGTCAGTGCAATGCACAGGAGAAGGGACCATTTCCAAAATGTGGGCCAGCTGTTCCCCCCCCCCGCCTGATGGTGCAGGACCAAGGCCAAAGGCCGAGTAGGGGTCTTGGGCACAGGCACTGCCTCGCAGCTGGCCTGCCTCCTGGACTGTGGTGAGAGGGGACTGCGGGGAGGGGGCCTTGAGCCCCTCAGAAAAAAGCACAAATGCAGGACGCACAACTGGACGGCCTTGGCTGGCAGGTGGCTAAGCTGCTTGCATTCCTGCCCTCCTTCTACTCAGAAAGGCCCCGCTCAGGACCAGAGAGGGCACCCCCCACTATCCCCCCAAACCTGGATGAAGTTGCTCTCAAAAACAGCTGAGTTGGGGAACAGGTTGTAATCCGGGGAGTGGATCAGCTGGCAGAGCAGCCCCTCTTCCAAGCCGAGCTCCTTGCCAGCATCTGGGCTGCTGCCAGCGAAGGCCCCCCTGGCCATAGGGTGTTGGGAGGCTGGGCTCAAGGAGACAGGCATGCCCCCGGCCCTCCCTGGCTTAGCTGGCCAGCCCGCAGGGGCCAGCACTGACTCAGCGGGGGTGGGGGCGGGGGGAGCTGGCTCAGCAACAAGTGGGTCAGGTCAGAGCAGAGGCTGTGTGCATCACAGTGGCATTGGGGTGCCACCTGGCAGAGGCGGTGATGTCACACTGGCCAGAAGGTGGGCTTGCTCCACTGAGATGGCATCAGAGCCTAGAGCATCTGGAGCGCCAGACACTGCCAAGAGGGCCGTGGATTGACAAGAATTCCCCAAGAGCGGCAGGGGAGGCCAAAGGTTCTCCCTGTCTGCCCCCCCGCAAGGCTTCTTGTGAGGTTTCACGGGCATCCATATACACCCTGGCAGTTTGGCAGTGTAAAGGCTGGGTTCACATGACATGCTTAACCCTAAGCCCAGGTCAACAAAACACAAACCTTCCTCGGCTTAAGAGGGCGATCAGGTTCAGTGCTTGGTACACAGATTTGGAAGGGTCATCTAGACCAACCCTCTGCCATGCACATCCTCGAGAGGTGGTCGAAACCTCCAGAGAGGGAGAGCCCACAACCTCCATAGGGAGACGGCCCCACAGATTTTACCATCAGGGAGTTTCTCTCTATATCTGAATTAAACCTAAGTCTGGTCCTAATTTCTGTGGCCAGGGAAAATGGTTGGTTTATCCACTATACTTGTATGACACTCATTCTCAAAGGCTATGAGTGACTAACCAGCAAATATCATCTAAAACACCAATAAATCCAGCCCCCCCAAATAATAACAATCTCAACAACAGCGTAACAGATGTTTTAAAAATTAAACGCTGTGTCTTCCCCAGTGCACCCCAACATTCAGAGCACGCCTTCCTCCTCTCTAGATGGAAAAACCAGGTGTTTCCTCAGGATTCACCCTAACCCTCAAGCTTCGTTAGGTTAATTATGAGGAAACAGCTGCTCCCGTGGGTGAAACATTCCTCCTCCTCCTCCTCTGCAAGTCGGCCGCATCCCTGCGCAATGGCGAGAGGCTTGCAGAAATGGAGGCTTGTGACACGCTGCCTGCAGGCCTCGGGACTCCGCTCCCCATGTGTGGGGAGCAGGATGAGAATCGTCATCCTACAGCTCTGGAGAGGATTGAGCTGGGCTAGTGGAAATCACCCGCCCCAGAGGAGCTGCTCCTCAGCTGGCCATTTTCACCGAGCACAAGCAGCCCTCCTTTTCAGGGCTCCTGGTCGGTTGGCCAGCCAGGTGAAGCCCTCCTCCAATTCCTCCTCCTCCTCGGGCAGGGGAACAAACAAGTTTCCTTGGGGATCAAATGGGCCTTGGCTTTTTCCGTGTGCTGCTCAACGAGCCGGAACCTCCTTGTGGAGAGAGGAAACGCCACTGCTCTGCGCAGCTCTGCTGGGGCACCGAGTGTGGCTCTTGGCACAGACTGTGATGGAAAAATAATGAAATAAAGGCGCAAATTCTTCCCCCCCACACCACTTGCCTCTCTTGCTGCAAACTCCCCACCACTCCCCTCTGCCGCGTCTGCTCCCCGACCTGCATATGTAAAATAGGATCTACAGTATTTCCACTGCGAAGAAAAACCCTTTTAATCCTATCAGGTCAAAACAGTGGTAAAGCCCTCACCTGTCCGGTTCATCTAGGGGGCAGCCCCAGTGAGGACGCATTGTTAACAAGGTGAGAGAGGGCAGGCGTTCCACGTAATCAAGCCTGGGCGCCGGTTAGCTCAAGGCTCCGTCCTTGTTAGCAAGGGAGTCCTCAGCTCGCTGCCTGTCGCAGGGGTGCGGCTTTTGTCTGACGATAGGAAAGCCCTTCTCCCCTGTTTAACACCTACCTCACTTCCCCGGAACTTGCTCCCAAATCAGATCCAAAGGATTTCCTGCCTCTCAGCCCCAAAGTGTATAAGAATCTGCCCTTCTCCTGTTCGGGGTCCCTCTTTCGTGGAGAGCAGGAGCCCAACAGTTGTTGAATAAAGAGCTGGCAGCTTCTCTTCATGGAGCCCTTGGTGCTCGCTGAGCTCGGTGGTTGGCTTGCAGACATTTTATGACCCAACTAGGTGGCATCACCAGTGCGAGGGAGGGCGGGGTTTGCCCCCTGTTTACATACGGTAGCTTGCCCTTCCCGTGCGGGCGGGGGGGGGGGGTCTCCTCCGGGGTTCCTTTATTTTCGCTGGGTTGTTTGTCTGGTGGTAAACCCTGC